TTGAATATTTTCTTCACAACATAACAGATTCAATCAATATATCATTGATGAACATATATTACAATTTTTTGCGACAATTTATGCATCATTCCTCTTTAATTTATTATATATTTCATTTATATTTTTTTAATTATTCGAGTTTTAATACCAGTACTTCTTTGAATGTGTTAGTATAAGAGTGAATAACAATAATTATTTCACTTAATGTTGAATTTTAAAAATAAATGACAGCATTACGTAACATTAAATTGTCCCACTCCTTCCCCCCTCTTTGCGGTTCGTAATTTATGAACGTCAGCCCGTAAGCTCAGTTTCGTATTTTTTAGCAATAATAGAGAGGGAAATATTGTATACCAAATTTGCGAAGATCTTATAGTTATACTATACGACGCTGCAGGGGGTCAAACAGACTACTCTATCTCAAACACTAATTCACCCACAAAGCCACTTTACAATAAGTTCCATTGCGACATGTGAGTTTCGGAAAAAAATCCATCAAAATCCGAGATGGTTGCGCGGGCAGCCCTACACTACATAACACGCACATTGACCTTTCCCGTTACCCCGATCGTTGAAGTCACCGCGTACTACGCAACTCGCCAGCTTACATCCACTAGGCGCAGCTCCCTCCAGAAACTTGCTTCACGTCTTTCACCCACCAGCGACCGGTCGCCACTCCTCACCTCCCCCCCCTGAACGTCACGGCTCCGCCCCCGCAGCTCTTAGTCGAACGCTATAGAGATATAACTACACGAAGGGACCTCGTTGACAGCTACTGCTTGGTCATTGCCACAAGTTACGTCCATGCACTCATTTTGTCAGCGCGTTCGTTTACAGTTAGCCCATTCGCAATGCATCTATTGCAATGCTATTGCCCGACGTTCATTTGTTTCCCGACCTGTAAAAGCGGTCCCTTCTAAGAGTAACTCCTCTACGCAACTAGTCCGGAGCAAGCCACGCGCCCGCTCTCGCCCCCGCGTCCGCCTCCGCCTCCGCCGCTGCTCCACATCTGAGTCACGACGCGCCGCAGGTGCGGGCGTGACGTCAGCGGCAGCGGCAGCGGCAGCGCGAGTAACGGGCAGGGCGCTGTGCCGCGCCGCGCCGCGCCAGTGAAGGGGCAGCGAAGGCCGCGCCGCGCCGCCCCCGACTCCGCTTTGCTCTCCTAGCGCTTTCTCTGCCATATGGAACCGTTGCCCGCCGCCGCCGTCCGTTTCGCGCAGTGCCGTGGCGGGCGCCGCGCCGCCCGCATCCACTCACTCACGTGCCCCGCCGCCGAGGCGCCGCTCGCTCCCGCCGCACGCCGCCTATCGCGGCCCCGATAAGATAAACGAAGCGCGCCTGTGTGTGTGCGCAGGTCGCCGCTAACCCGACGCCGACCTGTCCGCTGGCCAGGGCGATGGGAAGGCGTCAGACACGTCGCGCCTTCGGCAGGATGGTGCCGCCGCCCGTGTCCTCAGCTACTGGATGGCGCCCAGCCGCTCCTCGTCACCGGAAGATCAGGTCGGTTGTCGTGCGCGCCAACCGAGAGGATATTTTCCGTTTCCTGGGGCTGCGGGTGAGCAGGAAGTACGAACAATCTTCAGGGTTTGAGGGAGGTTCTCAAGTTACGGTCTTCTAAAGCTTTTTTGCGTTTCTTCTTTCCTCAGATGAGTCAGTCGTGAGTCACCAACCAGAAGTCGCAGTGCTCTCACTCTCTCTCTCGATCATTCGAGCTGTGGAACGTTTCGAGCGAAGGCGCAGCGTTCGCCTACGAGAGCGGCCTATTCGCTGAGGTCGACAATCTACTTGTAAGGTTAGTAACCGCACGCCTGCGCTTCGCTTTCCTGTGTCATGAGATCGGAATACGGTTAAGCGTAGATATTATACATATTTTAAAGCCACTTTTGAATCTAAGTGTCTTGATTTTTGCAACGCAGGAAAAACGACGTCGTCACTACCTACCAGCCATTCCAATATCTTCTTCTATAAACGACTGTACCTCAAATGCGTCATCTACGATGGATGAAAGTTCTCTCCTTCAATTTACGTTCTAACCAAGGGTAGGAACGTTGTCAAGATGACTCCAGAAAACGGTTATAAACGAAATCTATTCGTGTTCATCTGTAGGAGTTGGTCAAGTCTCAAAACAACAGGTCAGTGTACACCATGAGCAACCTCTTAAACCGATTTCTAGTCGCCCTTACAGAATTTCTTTCACAGGAACATAAACAGCACATCACCATTTAAGCGAAGGCATCGCTTATTAACCGAGCAGCCAACACGGCCGAGCTACAGCAGCAGCAGCACAACAGCGCAGAGTTGCAGGTCAGTGGCAGTGGCGTGGGCGGCGGCGGCGTCTGCGAGGCGGTGGTCGAGGCGCCAGGAGCACGTAGTAGCACGTAGGGAGCGCGTGGCTGCGCAGCGCGTGGCACGAGCGGCACGCGGCGTGCAGCCGGTCGACCACGCGTGCCAGCAAGAGCTGGACGCGGCACGCGCACATCTCGCACGCCGCAGCACGCGCTCACGCTACGCGATCTGACGATCGAGGCGGCGCAGAAACGGGGGCACTTGAAATCACAAACGGCAGCATCCATGTACCGACATTTTTTACACAGTATTTACTTTACCGTGTTAGGCAGGGCCGCACGGTTTTCTCCGTTGTCTGGTTCGTGTTTCTAAATCGTGAAATCATAATAGATTAAACTCCAAGGCCTCGATCCACATTGGAGTACTGCTAATTTTCGCGGAACATTAAAATCCCATTAATCACTCGGCGTATTCTGAACAAATTATTGCTCTGTAAGCCAGGTCATTGCAGGAAGCTGTTCGGCTAGTCATCAGCAAATTCAGTTATCCCGTAACATTTTGCCAACTTCCAACTGAGACCTTTCACGATCTAAAAGTGACTCTAAGGAATGACACACTGCAGCTGTGATGAACTAGCAAATCTCAGTATGTTATTTTTAACGGGAAATCGCAGTGTAAATCGAGTTATTTTATATAAAGTCATGCTCTTTGCTCCTTTGTTTCCCAACACGAAATTCGCACATGTTAACGAAGTGAAGGAGCATTGAACACACCTTTTTCCGACATCAAAAAGCGCGGTCACATTCTACGCGGCCAGGAGCCGAAACCTTCGCCCTAAGCCGAGGGGGGTGACAGTGGTGGGCCCTTAGGGAATGGGCCGCTTGCAGCTCTTCGATTTGGGATTCAAATGGCGGACCGGCGGGGCCGGCGCGACGCCACTTTCACCGCGCGCGAGCTGTGACCGGCGCGTCCGTTCCGCCCTCCCACTCGCGCTCTTAGAGACAAAGAGGCGCGACGCACGGCGAGGCGGCGGCGACGTCGCGCGCGAAACAACGGGAGAGAGCACGCGGAACCGGCGGCGATAACACGTTGGCGGTGCGAAGGACTCAGCACATCAGAGGCGAAGACGCTGAAGACCGCACGAGGACGTAAGCAGATAGCAGAGAACAAAACCGGGCCAACAAGGCTAGGAAAAAGTTCGAGAAGATGCTGTTAGTGTCCAAGGGAGCGATATCGTCGCCGTCGGGGCCGTTTATTCACACAACTCACGCGCGATCGACGCTAGGAGGCAGCGCAAATCGTAGTGTTGCCTCGTCTTGACGCAATGCCTCGAGCACACGACGGAAAGACGTCGGCAGAGCACGAAGCCGCGAGGCGGGGGACAACGGGGGGCGGTGTCGTCACCACACGCTGTTTAGCCGGAGTCGGAGCGGCGGCGGCCGGGCGAAAGCGCACGCCCACCGCGTCGCCGGCGACAGCGCTCCTCGTTACCTCCGCTCCCGCGACTCGCCGCGGCCATCGCCGCCGCGCCTCGATAACTACAACTAATAAGCGGCTCGCGAGTATTAGAGCATAAGCAACTCCGGCGCGCGACGCGTTTCGCTTCGTTAAAATTTCAATCGAGGTGACGTACGGCTCGGCAGCAAGCCAAACACTCCCGGCAGACGCGACGTCTGCACGGATGGATCGCACGGAATCGCAAACTTTTCGCGGCGCTGAAAACTCCCGCGTGCGGCGTCGCTCGTGCGAGCGGGCGCGTTGTCCGTAGCGGCGCGCCTCCTCGACCCTCTCGCCCGGTCACGCGCGCGCGCTCTGGACCGGCGGAGCCGACGCGCGCGACGCTTCGCGCCTTGCCGCGCCTTGCGCGCGCGGGTGCAACCTCGGATGTCCGCGCCGCTGTGGGGCGGGGGCGCGCGGTTCGACTGCAGGCGGCGCGGCGCGCGGCCCGGCGTTTGTACGCGCGGATGACATCCAAATGTGCCCGCCCCGCGAGTGCGCGCGACGCGCAGGCGCGGGGGCGGGTCCCCGATGGCCCCGTAACATTTTTTGCCCTCCTGCAGACGCTCGTCCCCAGGCGAGCCGCACGCCAGGCGGGCGGGCGGGCGGGCGCGGGCGGGGGGCGGAAGAGCACGCCGAGGGAGGGAAGGCGGCAGTTTTGTGAAGTGCGCCAACCGGAAGTGACGTGTTGTGGGGAGTCATAGGAAAAAGATCAACGAGAAACTTGTTGTAGCCGATGTTCTTAATGTTTTTCATTTTTGCCAGGCGGTAAGAAAAGCTATCCAATTCTATTACGAGTAATGCAACAAGAATTTTCGCAAAGGAAAGTTTTCAAAAAATATATAATAATATACTTATGAACACCCAAAACAATAATTGTTATATTTATTACTTCAAATTCGAATGTGAAAAAAATTAAACTGATTAAATTTAATTCAGTAAAATTACTAATTTTTTATTTGTCTATACATGTGAAATAACAATATAAACTGACGGAATATATAAAGTGTATTATCTTGAACTAAATCAACACTCTTGAAAATTGCGAATGTATTTCTAATGTTTAATGCAAGAACCACTTAAGTCCATAATAAATATCAATGGTACTGATGCAAGAACCACTTAAGTCCATAATAAATATCAACGGTGGTCCTTGCACCATGCCACATACTGTCAATTCCTGGAGTAATGTTGCAACATGTTCGTCTCCCTTGCAGCGCTACATATGGAGAATCGACCAGCTGCAAACACCACTGCGGCGCCGGTGTCCACCTCATCGACTGTTGCCCTATGTGGACCAAATCCTACTGAAGAAGCTGTTGTTCAGATGGAGAATTTCAAGATGCGGGTATTATAACCGGATGATAAAAAATCGAACAACTTCATGATTGGCGATGATAAGAAGGTAAGTGTTACTAATTAGAATGTAAGCTCATTTAACGATGCGGCAGCTTATGGAATGATAGATAGATAGATTTATTAAAGTTCGCTTTGAGCTAATGCTCGGTGGCAACATGCAAAACATAAAAGTATGTTCTGTTCTTTTTTGCTCTCTAAATGCACGAAATTAGCGTCCGACTAAAGAACATTGTATTAGATGAAACATTTAATGATTATGACGGTGTCGCACGTCAAATCGCTTTATAGGATCGTTGATACAAAGTATGATGAGTTTGCAATGAATCTCGGAAACATAACCCACTTTCATCTGTCCACTGAAAAACTATTGAGAACAAAATGCCAAATGTGTATAAATATAATATAATAATCATTGTTTCAAGTAATTTAGAACGAAGTGAATTCAAATATTTTTTTAGAAATAATGGAAACAACAAATACGACTAATTTAGAATCAGTATAATCAGAACGAAGGAAAACTATTTTCAGGTCAGTGAATTAAAAATATTGAACGAAACGGTTAATCTTTCGTGCAATATCTCGGTGTTAGCTGTAAATGTTATTTTATATTTGTAAATAAATAGCAAAGTAAAAATATTGGGTCATCGGACAACACAGAATAGTATAAAAGGCACTAAGACAATGCAGTATGAGATTGTGCTGTTTCCCAGTAGGAATTATCTTGTAAAAAAGAGAATAAGTATAATAAATATAAATGTAGCATAGAATACCACAACTAATGTGAAAATGTGCCGCAAGAAGAGAAGTGAAAAACTAATGGTGCTTTATCAGCCCACACTTTCTGGTATTTTTTATAGCATTTGCAATTATCGTAAATTCGAAGAGTTGAACGTAATTGAGAATGCACAATGGTTTAAGCATCCTTAGGCCTATCCATGAAAAAAAATAAAGAAATTGATGCGGTGTCTGAAAGAACAGTTTTTATTAATTTTCTTTACTTCAACCAAATCTTACGAAAAAAATTTAACTTCTTCAAAAAATGTACATGACCGTATTTAAATATATTTTTTAGAACAGATCAACAATATTGTTCTTTTACAATGTGCAATTTTTAAAAATACTTCGTCGAAAAAGGAATCAGCATCATTTTTAAATGTCCTATCCAAGGGGGAAAATTAAAGTAGAATTGTTGCGTTTTGTGAGCAAATAATTGTTTAAAAAATTGTCTACATTTTATACAATATAACTCATAAACTACTCATATTTTCGAAAAATTGTACATGAGCTTATTTCATGACCTGCAGATTTTATTAATGGAACAAATAGGTATATTCAATATTGTGGTTGTAAGAAGACGCAAAACAAAATTTGGAACTTTTGTAAATTCAGAGATATCAACGAAAATGTTTAATAAGCAATTGGAGGTATTTTTGAGAAATTTTTCAAAATGTCGTTAAGGTTTCATATAAATCAAGATATCGATTGCAAAGTCAATGGATCGCGGCATCAGCCAGATCGACGGAAGAATACAAATTTTGGTAAAACTTCTTCCGACGGTTTAGCAGGTAGCGTTGTTCATAGAAGGGTAGACGAACAGGCATACATATACACAATTGCGGTAAACATTTTTTCGCATTTCAAAAGTTGCAATTTACAAAAATTCAGAAGTAGACGAAATTAAACCTGCGCCATATTTAGGGTTCCTTATTTCATCCGCAGAAAGAAAATAAAGGAAACAATTGAAGAGATTTTTTATGTATTTTTTATAATCTGCATTAATTTTAAACAGAAATTAAGCGAAAACTACTTGTTTTTTCAAAGAGTCGTACATGGCCTCTTTTAAAGATTTTTTGCACAGATTTTGTTGAAGACAAAATTCTCTTCAATTTTGTAGTTTTGAAGTGTTAACGTTCTGCAATCTTCGAAAATTCAAAGCTTGCTAGAAATGAGACTAACTCTGATATTTTACCGTCATGAAATCATACGGATAACATTATATAGCAAAAATGTAAAACTGTTTTTAAGAAATATGTTTCTCGTTAGTAAAAGTTATAAGAGTTATTCTGACGAAAATTCGGCGTTTTCCGTCGCACAATTACAATACTTTTTGTTCTTACGAAGTAAAACAGAAACGTAAAACAAATATCCACTTTTTCGATATCAGGAGACTACAATACGAATTCTTCAGTCGAAAAGTTTCCGTGTACATAACGCGCGCTCTGTGTACATAACGCGCGCGCGCTTGCATAAATGTTACCTATACTACGTAAGTAGTATACGAAAAAGAAACCATTAACTCTTAACTAACGTATTTAACAAGTTTTGAAATATAGAAATAAAATAATTCAAATTAATTTCAGAAAGCTAAAATAATGAAGTTAATGTTCCGCATGATTTTTTATTATTTAAAATTTGAATTAGTTTTCAATAGTACACTCAATAGATAAACACTCATACAGATAATCATTTTGATGCGATAAGTACTCATAATAAAGCACTCAATTTAACTTTTTAGGTTTAGAAGATATGTCGTAAAATAACTAACAGATTAAGTTCGGGATTGTCCAATTTTGTATGGTACGCTGCGATACTTATAGGTAGAGGTACGTTAGCGTAGTGTTTGGTAACATTTTTTTCAATCTTTGCTGAAATATTTTTAGTTAGTCTTATACTAAAACATTGAAATATTAACTGATTTTTTAAAATAAATATATTAAAGGATTATGTGTAAATTGTTACTATTAACGAAATGTTTCATTTGTTTTTTGATTGAATATATATAATTACGAAAAAAGATATTCAAAACTGATCTATTAATCTATTATTAAATAGTCGCAGTAGACTCTCCGCGTGCAATATCCACAAGGGAGCGTGAATGGCTCGCTTACAAACTTTTTCACTTCTATGCATTCTTCCTTCACTCAAAAATTGCCCCCAATCTTTTTTTTGTTTTTTATCTCAAAAATTGTCCCCAGTACATTTTAAAGCGTAACACAAATAAAATTAATACAAATTGATATTGAGTAATATAAATTATTTTTGTAAATGGCGGGGGGCGGGCTGTCGTCGCGAGCGTTACGTAACTATTTAGAAAGAGGTTACGGGTGCGTTACAGGGAGGAGAGTGGGTATGCAAAATACTCAAAATTAGCGTTCCGTAATTCAAGGACGGTCCCTTGAAGTAAATTGCTATTGAGAGGAGCAATTGGATTCGGGAATCCATTGTGGTTTGTGTTCCATGGGGGTGATTGCAATGCAAACTCAAAACTAGCAAAGCCACTTGCATCGGCAATAGTTACACAGCCGGGAGGCACTGTTGCCCTAAATCAATGTAGGTTCCTCAAATTATTTTTGGTGCCAAGCATTATTAATTGTAGTTAATTGTACTTAGCAGACAAGAAAAAATGTAGAAGACTGACGTTTCGGTGGTAAAAATGAAGTTCTACCATTATCAGGTTGATTTCTAACTCGTACGATTATAATTCTCACGCTTTATGATGATTTCTGACTAGCAAAGGTAGGAATAACGCAATGCCTGGAACCAAACTCATAGCACCTGTGTGGGCTCACACTACACTTGCATGTCATCTCTCATTATTTTTTCACGTAAATAACTCTCCGATGGAGAAAAACAAATAGAAAAGATGGTTTGACTCATTCTAGTTCATTGGTGAGGCGTTGTTAGCATTCGCATAGGTTATTAAAAGATATTTGCCGTTACAGACATTTTATTCATTAGATTATATTTTTAACGACTTATTGCTACTCATCATTTCAGATCATAATCAACTGATTATGGCTACACCAAGGAACGTGGCGAATCTAATCAATAAAAAAAGTATTTAAGGGCAATTCTAAACTTTAAAATAACTTCTGATGTCAAGAAGGATTTGCAGTGCACGTACCTGCAAATTGTGAACTTTGCGATCAGTGTAACTGTTAAATATTTTTATAGGCCAATTTTATTTATGAATTGTAATTTTTTTCATGCAATTAGAAGACAATTTCAAGTCTCAATATTGTTTTAAACACAACGGATTCATAATATTAGGATTTATTTTCATAAAAAATTCGCTCTAATATTAAGAAGATAATTCTGAAATCATTTCAAATCATATCAAACAAGCATATACATTTTATTATAAAATACTACCCAAAAACAGTTCTTAATCTTCAAAAGTATATTTTCTTTATATTTTTAGAAAATTTATATTTCAAAGTAAGTTAACCAATGGTTTCCAATAGCAATAAAACCGCTGAACAAAATATGGTTTTGCAAAAGTTCGCACGTGCACTGGTCAAGAATAACAAACAAAATACATTCATATAGCTCTGGACTAAATTAAATATTTTAACAAAAACAGTCTTCACGATAACCAATAACAGTTATTTACGTTTCAAAAATATACAAAAACGTGCTGTTGTTTAACGTAACACATGAACAGCAACTATTCAATGATAGGCAGCCTGTTCCTTGGGGACTAGCAGACGCATGACATCCACTCTGTCACAAGCAGTGATGCAATGAGGACGCGCAGTTTGAAAACTTGCGAAAAAATAAAAATATTTGCAATGTTCAATTAAAATCGAAACTCTTTCATTGTTTATGAATTTTTCCCCAGTACCTGGGTATCGAACGATACTTAGACATCTGCTTACTACTTAAGTTTGCCATTCTACCGCTCATTAATGTACGTCTAGCCATAGCTTGGAAAACAGCATTAAGACAATGAATATTGCAGAATAAAATATTTAATAAAACGAATTAGGACACAGAAGCTCACCGACAAATAATGCGAAAACGAAAGAGCGAATGCCTCTCTTGGAATAGGAGATATGTAGTGTGTGAGGGAAGGTAAAGGTTAAAACTGAAGGACGCGAAACAACTAAAAAAGAGTTAATGAAAAATCATTTGGACGTGTCCTTGCGTTAATATTTGGAAATCAAGGAAAATGTCGCTGTCACCAGAAAAAAATCATCAAATACGTGT